CTTCTCGTCAAGAACGTATCTCCTTTCTATATCCCTCTCTTCTCTTTTTTTGCCATGGTAACAGTAAATGCTGTATCTCTGCGAGAACGGACAAAGCCTGCGATTTATCTCGTTCCGTCGATTTCCGCGAGGAACGACTGCTTTTCGAGAGAAAACTAAAATTTCTTCTCTACGATTCCTTCCCATTGCAATCTTCTCAATACGGAGATTAAAAAGTTTTTGCACGTAACGGATGAAGAAAAACGAGGAATACCACGAAGTCTGACCGATTGCGAGATACCGGTGGGTCGTAGCCAGAAGGAAAGGTCACTGGTTGTCTTGAAATCGTGCGTATGGTCGATCGTTCGGGGGTTAATACCGGCTAGGTAGTGGGAGAAGAAATCAAGATGGCGTAACCGGCCGCTGCTTCTAACGATTATACGATTGCAAATATGACCGTGACTTTTCGTACAGATCACCGAACGCACGCACATCCCGATCATCGAGATAGTTTTCTTCGACGAAGAAATATACGTCGTTACACGTGGATTCAACGAGAACTCGAAGCGAAACTTTCGTTTCGAACGGCTGGAATCGAAAGCCGGGTCCGTACGGTGTACTCGGCTATATCGATTGATGCTGCCCATTTTCAAAATGGCGCGGGGGTATACACTCGAAATCTCATTCGACGCGAATGATTTCCGCCACGCGACTTTTTGACACGAAAATGGGAAAGAAAAATAGCCGATTCGAACAAACGCGCGAACAAAATAAGCACGTAGACATGAATCTATAAAGGAAAAAGAAAAAAAGCAACAAAAGTGAACGGTGCAACGAATCAAAGACCGGCGCCGCGAAGACACGTAAATACGAAGACGAGATAAGTAAGAGGCGCGCACAACCGGCGAATAACCGAACGAGAAAACGGCGGAATCGAGAAATGATTCGGGTACTTACCTCGATAGTTGAGGGCGTCGTAAATGGCACGACGAGGTAAAATTTCCCTGTAGAGGAGTGTCTCTCGTCGCTGCTCCACACAAAATACACACTGGATATATTATTCCGAAAGAAGGTGGCGCGGTGGCGGCGGCAGCGGCAGTGACGGTAGCGGGCGTGTAGCACGATGCGTGGCGTCTAGACAGACACAAGAGTACGAGTGATGAAGCGACAACGATGGCAGAGACACGCGAGAATATTTGCTCGGTAGAAGAAAGAAGAAACGAAACACCAAATTCGCCTACGGCCAAGCACAGGCAGCTTTTAGCGGGAGCGCGTTCGCGAACTCATCCACTTGGCTCGGTAACGCGCGACCGACTGGCGAGAGAAGNGAGGGGAAGTGGCGTCCGTCTGTCCGTTCGACCGTCTTTCTGTCACCAACGTATTGCCTTCTCGTTTTCTCTCTCTTTCTCTCTCTCACATACACACGCACACACTCTCTACTTCTCTCTCACTCTCAACCGCGCGCGTTCAATCTCTTTCCTTTCTTTCTTTCTTTCTTTCTTTCTTTCTTTCTTCCTTCCTTTCTTTCTTCCTTTCTTCCTTTCTTCTTCCTTTCGCTCTATCTCTCTCCCGCTCTTCTCACACACTCAATCCCTTACTCACTCATTCTTGCTATTTCACTCTTTTGCACTCTCCCATTTCCATAAATCTCGTCTATCCTTTTTCTTTCTCGGTCGAGTTTTTTCCCCTTATTTTTATTTTTTTCCCTTTTCATTTACGTTCTTCTTATGGATATATGCATATATATATATATATATCACTTCAACTTGCAAATCACCGGCAAATATCTACGCGTATACTATCGCCATAACAACATCCGTTTCACATTTGGAAAAACGAAGAAGATTAATCGAGATACGAATCGAGAGACACCCCCGAGACACGAGAGCGACACGAGAAATCGGCAAGCAAAGGAACGATAATCGCGAGCCCCCCCAAACGTACGTACAACAGCCACCGATCGATCGCCTCGCGTTTCCTCTCTCTGCTCCGATCTCTCGGCAACGATCCGACTCGAAACGACCGTTCCTTTGTTCCCACCGAACAGAGTTTCGGTTGCGTTCGTATATACCTCCTCTCTCTTTGTCCCGAGGAAGTCGAGCGTGGGGAGGGCCCGACTAACGCGCACAAACTGGCAAAATTCGGCGAACAAACACCTCCTCGTAACGATCCTTTTTTTCTCGTTTTTTTTTTTTTCCTTTTTCTTTTTTTCCCTCGACGATCGACCTGCGATTCGCGCGAACGCGCTTCCCCAGTCCGTTGCGTTCGCGTCCTCTATACTTTGCGGTTATGTGTCGTATACGTTCACTCTCGAGCGCCGTTTCGTTTTACCGCACTCCGCGCTGCTCGACGGTCAGAGAAAGAATGAGCTCCGGGATAGACGGGAGGCAGGATCGTACCGGCTGAGCTCGGCACCCCGGGATTCGATTCGGATGGTGGCAGCCCTGCTTCCAGCTCGCCAACACCATTAGGGTATGGGGGTTCGACTCCAGGGCGGGGTCCTGTCACGAACAGCTCCCTACCTCGAAGCCATGCGATCCAAGTGTACTCGTTTTCAGGGTCAAGATTTTTTTTCCAACCCCCTTTGGAAAATTCGCCTATTCCTCGATTATCCGCTCTCGATTCGTTAATCAACGCCCGATTCCATTCCTCGATATTTTTTTCGCACCAATGTTTCTCGATTCGTTCAAACGAATTTTTACTAAATGGTTTGACGCGATTAATGACCTACCGTAACACGTTTCGTGAAAAATCGATTCGCCAAAGTCAAAATTATGAATTTATACGCGCGACTATGTTTTGCCTACAACGTAATTTCCTTATTATCGCGTCTTTCTTTTCCGGTTATTCAAGTCCGTTAAAATACTGGTTGAAAGAATTAACTAGAGGCAGAGGGAGAGAGAGGGAGAGAGAGAGAGAGGAAGAGAAAGAGAGAGGCGGATAATGCGCGATTGCAACGCATTCTAGCTAGAAATCGTTCGGTGTTTCGACAACTACACGGTGATCATTCGAGCGAAACAAAATACGCGTATACCTGCTGGCTGCTACGTCGACTATATTACGAAGAAGCCGCCTTTCGCCTTCCATCGTGGTGACTAACGCGAAAAGCGGGATTGTAGATATTATAATGCTCGATAATATCGACACCATTGCCGGACACTCACGAGAGTTAGATAAGACTAGACACCGGCTAGCCAAACGTTCAACTCTCTCTCTCTCGTTCTTCAGAGACTTCGATGCGTCGCGCCGCATTGCTTTTCCACGAGGAGCACACGTAAAATTCCTGCGCCCCGCGTTCAGACTATGCCGTCGCCGTCGCATCGATTTCCGAACCACGCGGCCACCCATACCGTCTGGCGAACTTGGAAATCATACGGATATTTATCGATCTCCTCGAACTACCGACTACGCGAACTACCAACGCTAATCCCAACCCGATATCGTACAATAGAAGCGTTCGATTGCAAACAATATTTTTTCCTCGTAAAATGCTGCTGCAACGTGTATAATCTTCGAATCGTTTCCCATTCGTAATCGATACTCTGCCACCAACATTCGACCATTGATCAATCGATCCAGCATTGAGTTTTATCGCTATATCGGATAATACGTTACGATCCTTGCGCCTCGTTTCCCGAAAAAAAAAAAAATTTCTCCTCATCCTCGTCGTTGAGATCGAATCGAATATTCTCGAATATTCTCAATCTCGATCCAAACGTTTCATTTCGCGTTTGTTGATTAATAATAATAACGTGTTTTTTTTTTTTTATTCGAGTAATTCGATTTCAACATGCAGAAACGTTAGAATCGTAGTTTCCGACCGAATGATTCCGCGCCTCGAAATTCCAACGGAGGATAATGGTGGAACGCGTGCTAAAGAACGGGAAGAGTAGTTGGCTCTAACCGTGCGCGGTTACTCACTCGAAACGATGAAACCGTAACGCTACGAATTACTCGTAACCGTGATGCCAATTCGAACGGAGAGCGTTGCTCTCCTTGTTGCCGCGAGTTAATGGGTAAAAGCGATCGCGCACGTTGGACGAGGTAATAATCGCGCGGAAGATGGTCGAAAGGCGGATCGAATAACAAAACGGAGCGGTGGGGGGAGATTCGGGCATAGAATATAATGGCTTTCCTCGAATTAATGGAAATCGATTTTAGGAGTGCATATAGTTTCCTAGATACCGATTCCTGTTAGGGGCACAATCTGATGCTGCACAAAGTATATATATATATATATAATAATTGAAATCTTTACAGCGGTTATCATCGCCCAATAATAAATTCGATTAATAATAATTCATCGTTATCGATTATTATATTTCTTTTTTTTTTTTGCTCGCGTTTAATCGTCATTTTTTTAAGATTGCCCTACACAATTGCTACGAATTTTTATTTTTTCTCTCTCTCTCTCTCTCTCTCGATCCACTATATGCGCAAAGTATATATATAATAATTGAAGTCTTTACAGCGATTATCATCGCCCAATAATAAATTCGATTAATAATAATTCATCGTTATCGATTATTATATTTCTTTTTTTTTTTGCTCGCGTTTAATCGTCACTTTTTTAAGATTACCCTAAACAATTGCCACGAAGTTTTATTTTTTCTCTTTCTCTCTCTCTCGATCCACTTTATGCGCAAAATATTTATATAATAATTGAAATCTCAGTGATTATCATCGCCCAATAATAAATTCGATTAATAATAATTCATCGTTATCGATTATTATATTTCTTTTTTTTTTTGCTCGCGTTTAATCGTCACTTTTTTAAGATTACCCTAAACAATTGCCACGAAGTTTTATTTTTTCTCTTTCTCTCTCTCTCGATCCACTTTATGCGCAAAATATTTATATAATAATNATCTCAGTGATTATCATCGCCCAATAATAAATTCGATTAATAATAATTCATCGATTATCATATTTCTTTTT